GTAGATTTAATCGTTTGTGAGGGTAATTTTTTTTGTATTCCCTCCTCTCGGATCTGCAAAGAGGTTGTTTATTTTAAACCTCTTCGATCTTTTCTTTTTATTTCTTTCGAATTTCTTGGGGAAAAAAAAATCCAGTTCTTTACTTTAAACAAGAACTAGGAAAAATCTCTAAATTTGTTTGTTTATATAATGGCAACTTCAATGGATTTCTACAGTAGACAATCAGATCATTTCGGTGGTGAATTAATGGACGCGCTTTTACCTTTTATCAAAAGCCCTTCCTCATCAGCGTCTGCGTTTGCGTTTCCTTCTTTCTCTTCCTTTACCGGGTCGAATCTTCATCAAATCGGATCCTCCTCCCATAACCACTCTTTCTCCAACCTCCTTAGCCCTAAACCGGTTCCGATGAAGCAATCCGGTGCTGCTCCTAAACCGACGAAGCTCTACAGAGGAGTGAGACAACGTCACTGGGGAAAATGGGTCGCTGAGATCCGTTTACCCAGGAACCGAACCCGGCTCTGGCTTGGAACATTCGATACGGCGGAGGAAGCTGCCTTAGCTTACGACAAGGCGGCGTTTAAGCTTCGCGGCGATTTCGCAAGGCTTAATTTCCCTAATCTCCGTCATAACGGATCCAACATCGGCGAGTATCAACCTCTTCAATCCTCAGTCGACGCTAAGCTTGAAGCTATCTGCCAAAACTTAGCACAGACGCAGAAACAGGTGAAATCAACGAAGAAGAAGACACGCGCCGCGAAACAACCGGAGGTTAATTCGTGTTCAGATCTGAAACCAGAGGAGTGTTCATGCGCCGGATCAACGGAGAGCTACGGATCCGGTGGATCTTCGCCGTTGTCGGATCTGACGTTCGCCGATACGGAGGAGGAGCAAACGCCGTGGAACGAGAACTTTGCGTTGGAGAAGTATCCGTCGTACGAGATSGATTGGGAGTCGATTCTGGCTTCGTAAATTAGGGGATGCCATAGGGGTATTTTAGGAAATTAGAGGTTCGCTGCAATGGAGTTATTGGTAATTGCAGGGAGCCACAGTAATTAGTAGTATCATTAGGGGTCTTGTGTGTTAATATTAATAAGTGGATGTACCTTAATGTAAATTATTAATCTCTGCGTCGGTCCAAGCTGGATTTTTTTTGTCATGCTTGCTCGACCGTGCGAGATTTTATGTACTTTTTTATATTATTTTAATCTGTATTTTGTAGTTTCCTTTGTCTTAAATACTAAG